ATGGTTCATGGGGTCACGAAGAGTCGGACACGACTTAACGACTAAACAACAAACAACAAATGTATGCTACCATCTCAAGAGTTCTTCTTCCTCCATGACAATTAAGTCCAGAATCTACAGTTCCTAACTCTACTACTGCCGAAAAAGAAATAAGGGATATTATACAGTATCTTATCAAAACCTGAAACCCAGCAATATTTCCAAATCCTTTAAATCCATGATGGTTTGAAATTAATTTTCCTACCCTTTTGAGCCCTTACCCTCTCACCTTCCTTTGATACCAGGATTCTGCCTCAGCCCTGCTTCGGCTGGCTATATCTTCGTATTGAGCCTTGACCTCAGCAATGATGCTGTTGATGTCCAAGTTTCGGTTGTTGTCCATTTGGAGAACCACAGAGGTGTCAGAAATTTGTTTCTGCAACTGAGCTAATTCCTAAAGAGAACCGCAATAGGGAGAAAGAGACCTCACCAAGTGAAAAAATATGACAATCTTTATCACAACCAGAAAGTGTCCAACAAAATTTGTCAAGATGAGTCTTATTAGACAGAAATGTGAGACTCTGGAAAAAGCTGTGGATCAGTTTTTGGGATGTTAAAGAAAATAACTACTAGTTACTAATATAGACAACACAGCTGTTTCAAGGGACTTGGTTACTGCTTACTGGTGTTTGTCCTGTTTCTTTTTCATCAAGGGAGCCTTCCTAGCTTGGTATACTCCAGATGTGTTGGATTTAACTCCCATAAGCACAAGCCAATGTGGCTGGTGGGAGAAGTCCAACATCTCTGGAGGACTGCACTGGAAAAAGGTTACCAATAAGACAATTTAAAGGCATACTGATACATAAAATTATATAACATACCTCTAACAAAATCATAAGACAGCAAAAGAGAGCAAGGCACAACTAATCAGAAAACAAGACTGCTAATCAAACATAAAATTTTTGAAATACAACCATTGTACCTTACCAAAGAAATTCCTTCCCATATCTGAGTAAAAGATGAGTAATATTTTTTCTTCTGTTGTCTGCACTTTCTCACAGTAATCTTTGAGGGCTATGTGATAGATGGGCTGATATTCATGGGACCAGAGCTAACATGGGTGGGGACATCCATTCTCCCATTTGCTTTGTCTGACACCAACTTCTCTGTCTCTCCCCCAAATCGCAGGTGACAGGAAAGAGACATACCTCTCATATCAGAGACCTAAACTGATTTCTTGTAGAGAACTTTTGAAGCTAGTCCACAGGCAATTAGACCAAGGGCTGCAGGTTGCCCAGTTTTTCTAAACTGATCTACTTATAAATTCTGTACTAGCAGCGCGTCCTTACTGCTTCACAGAGATTTCTCAAGAAGTTGATTTCATCTCTCAGGGAGTCCACCTTAGCCTGTAGGTCCACTTTATTCATAAAAGTGGCATCCACGTCCTAGAAAAAAAGAAGAAGAAAATCCTGAGAAATAAAAGAATACTAGAATTAGGAGGACATAACCTGAGGTTTACTTGGCATGGGTATTTATAGTATGATAAGGTTGAAGTTAATGTAGATTTTAAAAATCATTATGTTAGAAGTACCACATTAAGGGTATGGAATAAATATAAATCCAGGTTGTTCCCCAAAATGCCCTTATTGGTCTCAGCACAGGAAGGATTTTATAGAAAAGAAACAGTAGGCAAAGTGAAATGGTTAACATATCAAGATTTATTAATAGGAAATGGACCACTTAACATGAAGTCAAGGGAACAATTGACTGCAAAGGGATTTCACTTTCAATGGTTTTCATTTGCACAATTAAGAGAAAGGTTTAATACAGATAAAAAGGTAATTGGACTTGAACAATGTAAGTCAGAATTTGAAACTGAATTATGTACAAATGATGAACATGTGATTGCAAAAATGTATAAACTTTTGTTGATATTTGAAATGGAAGAACAAGTTAAAGATTGCATTATAAAATAGGTTAAGAATTTTGGTTATAATACAGTGGAACCTCGGGTTACGAACGCTTCTGTTCACAAACTTTTCG